CAACTAAAGTCAGTTCATTGATGATTCTTAAGGCCCGTTCACACCAAGGATGATAACTATAAAGATAACGATAAAGATATAGTTCTAAAAATCGATCTCAATATTAAAGAATAGTAGAGTCCACACCACAACTATAACGATAAAGGCACAGAAAGAAACAATATAGTTGGAATCACTTTCAATTAGTGCTGGGCGGTATGATCAAAAATTTATATCACTGTATTTTTCACGGTACATGACGGTATTTTTTTTTTTCATGCATGACCGGGTGTTAACCATATTTTCTACTGATTGAGAGAGGAAATACTGCAGTATATTGACTTAGAATGCCCTATTTTACTGTCATGATGAGTGAATATTGTCAAAAAATACCACACTCTTTCAAACAGTGTCGCGTTCCGAACGTTGTTTAAGCGACATACACCGTATTGCAGTATTTTAAAAATTCATATCATAACAAAAATAAACACCGGTATTCGGTATGAACCGGTATACCGCCCAGCACTACTTTCAATACGATTTTTTCCAGCTGATGAACGATAAAAACATTGACAGCCAATCAGAATCAATCATGCTGTAATGAGCTCAAGAATTTAAAGCGGCAGACGCGCGTGCGCTTAGAATAAACAGACAGTATCGTTCGCTGGTGTGGATGCTAATATCGTTATCTTTATAGTTATCGTTCTTGGTGTGAACGGGCCTTTAGAGTCTTAAAATGGCCAAATATTGGCCAATTTCTTGACTGTTAGGCAGAGAATCATCTTGTTTAACGGTCTAAAAGATATTTGTGTCAAGTGGACTTCACCAGCCTCGCTGCTGTCCTTTAGTTAAGGACGGCCTAACACCGTTTTCCACTCTCCATGGAGATGTTGGATGTTAGCGCAGATGCAATCTCATTATTCAGTTCAGCCAGACTGTTGGTGCCTCATGTAAGCGTCATGCAGTTCTTCGCTTCTCTCTTTGCTGCACTGCTGAGCAAAGCCACACGAGTCGTCACAGGCTACGCAGCAGGAAAGATCTCTCTGTATATTTATGTTAATGCACTTTATATTTACTCATTCATGTCCCATTCCTCTGTGTTTGTCAGTGGGCTATGTAGTGTATGCATAAAAAATATTAAAGGCCTCTGGCACAAAATATTGTGCCAATTGTAGCCTTATGTGTATAGATGCACGCTTGCTGCCGTGTGAGGGAGGAGAGTGAAAGGAAGAAGATAAAAGATTGTGTGTCTTGGCTTGAGAAGATGCTGTTAGTCATGCCAGTGCTGTCCCTTTGAATCCAGAATGCAAGGGGGACGGGGGGACATGTGCTCTGGCAAGGCAAGAAAAGGACGCAATATTCTCATTCCATCTCTGTCCTATCTTAATATTGGTTGCTTCGTCCGTCTTTCTTCATATCTTCATGTGGCTTAGTAAGACTGTTATTTTGTTCCAGTCCAGTGGCCACAGACCTGCTACGCTTGACTTTGCATTAGTGTCCCTTGCCAGAAGGCTTTTTGGCTTTCTTGAGTGCCTCTACATAGATCATACAATTAATTTTTTTGGATGATTTGTGCTACAGAGATCGTCAGATTTGAGTTGCGGTTCAAATATGGTGGCAGATTATGATAGAGCATCACCTTTAAAGCAACATTCTGGTTATTTTTGAGATTTTTTTTTTAAATTACCACAGTGGCAGATAAGTTTTTCTGTTTGGTCGACTTTTACTTTTAAAATAAAAACAAAAGAAACTTTTATTTTGACAGTGTGCAGGACGTTTATTTTGACTGCGCTGAAAACATCAGTGTTTGAGCGCACAGAGAGCTCCCATTCTTCGTCTTTGTTAGTTTACTGTCTCTGTATGGAATTCTAATAATAAATTATTAGAGGCGATCAAAAAAAAAAAAACAGCAGTAAAAGGAGTTACTGTTTTGAATCAGTATGATGAATCCTTCACTGAATGATTCAGCGGTTACTGAGTCAACATAATGAATCTGACTTCCTGAACTGAAAATTATCATTAATTTTAGTTGTGTAAATCTCAAAATGGAGCATGTTTTGTGTACTTATGTCATGAAACCATATCGGTGTCATTACTGACTGTCCTTTTGTCAATGTGTAGTTAGAGATACAGTGGTTGGTTTCGGGTTCCCCTGACCCCAATCAGATGTGTTTCTTAAAGACTCACCAAGATGTAACTTCTCTTTTAAAAAGAACAAATTTAGAAACACTTGAAGAGTTTATTGTGCCGACGGTCAAAAATATTGCCCATCCTGATCCTTTTTTTAGAAGTGATTGTCTGTGATAATCGACATTTTGCCATATAGGCTAGTCCATAGATATAAAGTAGAGTCAAAATTAACTCCAGATATTACTTTTAATGTCCATCCTAATAGGTTGAGACAGAATGTGCGTGTTAGTGAGCATAAAGCCAAACCTTAAGCTCTCTGACCTCATTTACCACAGTGAAAAGATGTCATTTACAGCATCTCCACCAGCCTTGCCCTTAACGCCTCTCTCTTTAGCGTCCTCTCTGTGATCTGTGATCAGCTAAAGATGAGATTAGTAAGAGATGACGCTTCTCCTCACACTGTCTTCTAGGGCTGAACGATTTTGGAAAATAATCTAATTGCGATTTTTTTTACCAATATTGCGATTGCGATTTAATATGCAATTATTTTTTAAAGCTCTTTATGAGCTATAAATCATTGTATAGTATGACCAACACACTATTAGATAGATTAAACATAAATGTTCTTTTCTGTAGGCCAGGCCTATATGTTACGATGAAATTAGGTGATGCATGAATTGATATGAATGACATTTTTATTTAACAACTACAATCACAGTAGTATATTGACTGATTTGTTGAACTTCCAACCTTGTAAGCATGTAATAATTATGACAACATAAAGCACTGACAAATAAGCCTGATGTAAACATGAATATGAAAGTCAGTAACAAATCACACAAACGAAAGCAGATTGCAGAAATATAAAAACAAGTCTGTTGCTTTACCACACTACTTTAGGTAATTCAAAGTCAATGTAATAAACATATGTAAACATGTGCACTGCACTTTTTAAACACTGTCTGTTAACTTTAGACCAGTGGTTCTCAAACTTTTTTGATCGTGCCCCCCTTTAAACCTATAAAAAAATCTTATTTAATTTAAAAAACCTACAGGGAAAAAACACATGCATCACTTGAAACATTGAAAATAGCATAGAGAGAATAACTGTTATTTTTATTATTCTCTCGCTGTTATTTATTTATTTTTTGTGGGTTTCATGCTGTCCGCTAAGGCATAGGACACACACAGGCTTTCCTCCTCACCAACGACATTAAACACAGTGTCTACACCGGACGCGAGCGGCAAAATACAGTAGAACTATTATAATCAGTGACGCTGTCTACACTGGATGCGACAAAACCCGACATTAAACTAATGCCTTGTTCTATTTATGACGTACTGACACAAAGTTAAAATGATTTGCAATGGTCCCTTTGTCGCGTCCAGTGTAGAGCTGCTGCGGCGCGACGCGACATCTGTAGCGTCCGGTATAGACACGGTGTGTGAAGCGGAGAGCAAGATATGCCTCGTCATATTTTCAGCATTTAGCATTTGAATGACCAGCACCTGCCTGGGTCTGTGCGACTTCATCTATGTCTTTTCTCTTCGCTTTCACAAACCGATCCATCTCCGATCGATCTTCAAGTGGAACACACCTCTTTACTCTCGCGTGTCACGTGACCGAGTGTAATCGCAGTCTCTGCGATTGAAAAATTGTGTTTTTTCATATCGCGATATTATCGCAAATGCAATTAATCGTTCAGCCCTACTGTCTTCTCATCTTCCCTTCGTGCCAATCCACCAATCCCTGCGCTATTCCCCAGATTAGGATCATTGGCCTGTGAGTGGTGGTTTTAATGAGCTGTAATTGATTTGTAAGCACAGATCCACCAGACTGTGTCAGGCAAATTAAATGAAGCTTGTTTGAAGCCCCAGGTCTCTTTTTCCAGCGAGTGATCCTGGTGGTGGTGGGACAGAATTCCCAGCAGGAGCGATGTGGCTTTTAGGACTTACAGAGTTCCAGCCTTCCCGCTGAGGGTGTGTTTGCCTCCTTCCCCTTGGACCAGGCCTGTGTCTGGGAAGTCAGCCATCTTGGAACCAAGTGCAGGCTTTATTCATCTAAACACATTTTAGAGGAATGGAGGGGGGAGTGACACAAGCTGGTAGTGTTTGCTCTCCAGCGGCTGTACATGGGGTCCAAAATTAACTTTTTGCCACACCTCATTGGCTAGTGAGTTGAAGAAATTTACTGGCCATGAATATTTCTTGAACTGTTTTTCCTTTTTAACAACAACAACAACAGTAGTAATAATAATAATAATTTGATACATTTTTATTATTATTATCATTATTATATAATGTACTGTTCAAAAGTTTGGGGCCAGTGAGATTTGTTTTTTAAAGAAGAGTTTTATGTTCATCAAGGCTGCATTTATTTGATCAAAAATATTGTCAAAAACAGTAATATTGTGAATTATTAATACAATTTAAAATGACTTTGATATTTTAATATTTTAAATATTAAATTTTTTTCTGTAATAGAAAAGCTGAATTTTCTCATGATCCATCAGAAATCTTTCTAATATGCTGATTTGGTGCTCAGAAACATTTCTTAATGTTATCATAATATTATGTTAAAAACAATTTTGCTGCTTGATATTTTTGTGGAAAGTGTCATACATATTTTTCAGTAGGCTATTTAAATTATATTTATTTGCATTTTTTGAAATAATAGATTTTTTTGTAAAATTATAAATGTATTTACTGTCATTTTTGATAAACTTAATGCATCCTTGATGAATGTAAATTTAAATCAATTTATTACAAAAAAAATCAGACTCCAAACTTTGAACGGTAGTGTAATTCTATCCTTAAAAAATAAACCAATTATATAGGCCTATATATGTATTTTATGATCCTCCACATGCGTGAGTGAATTAGTATGGAGTACGGAAGCAAATAAACTTATTGTAAAAATAAACACATTGTAAAGCTTTGCCCTTTGTTTTTCAGACACTGACTCCTCTCATATGACCAGCTGGCATTGGACAGGGTATTGGACCCTCCTCCTGCACGACGACAGAATGAGACAGTAGCTGGGGGTGTTGGAAATCATCCCTCCCCCCCTCCTCTTTGTTTTCCCCCTCCTACATATCCAAGAAGCATATCCATGCTCGCTATCTTACACCAACACTCTACAAAACAATACTTTGGACCTTTGTGGCCCCCACGCTTTACTTTGTAGGGACCGTGAGACTTTTACAGGACCGTTGCTGCTGAGAACAAAACCTGTTTCCTTTCAGCCAGTGGACACATCCTTCCATCCTTACAGCTTTGGTGGAGCTTAATGGAAGCTCAGTAGATCTTTGAATCATGTAAACACCAGAGGACCACTGGGAGTTTCCATTTGGAGTTGTATATTAATAGGCTGAAAGACTGCCAGTGAGTGAAGCAAATCTAATTCAACCTGCAGCAGAACATCTGTTAGAATAAATGATACCTCTCCTTTGCTGTTTCATCCATCACATCTAAAGTACCTTGTGCTTCATCGAACTGTTTACATCCACTCCACATATCTGATCCATCTGCCAATCCTTGAAACGATTTGTTTGTTTACATTTCCAGGCCTTATAGCTTTCCAAGACATATCTGTTTCATTACTTTCTCCTGTTTACATGCAAGTAAAAGTTTGAAGTATCTAAGATACTAGGAATGAGACCACCGTAGAGTTCAGTTCCTCACACTTATCCAACCTTAACTCACTGAGACTGTTCATCTGACTCTCAAACGTGGTACACTACTTCCACTGAACAGTTCCGTCACCATGTACACGCTGCAGTCCAAATGGCGCTACCTAATCATGTTCTTGGGGGTCCAGTTAGTGGTCATGGCTCTTCTTTCTAGAGAGGGCTACCAGAAAAGAGTGTCATATTTTTTCCGGATTTTCCGAAAGCCGGATACTACGACAGGACAAACAGTTGTTGGACGCAACCACACGGATGTTTATGCCAACCTCTCCCTTTTGGGCTCTGCTCTTAATAAAGAGGACATGCCCTACTGCCCCAAGCAGTCTCCTCTGATTGGTGAGTTTGATAGCTCCCTTGGAAGTGTGCTATCAAGTTCCTGATCTGTCTCACTATTGGGAATATCATATCATTATGTTAGTCATAAAAAACAGTACCTGGGAGTTTTTTAAAATATTTTTTTTATGAAAAGAAAGAAAAAATAGTAGTGTGTGTGTATGTGTATATATATATATATATATATATATATATATATACACAATATTATTTTGTTTGTTTACCGAGGCTGGATTTGTTTGATCAAAAATGCAGTAAAAACAGTAATATTGTGAAATACCATTTCAATTTAAAATAATTGTTTTCAATTTAAACATATCTTAATGTAATTTATGCCATGTCAGTGGCACGTGATACTAATATATATAAAATTTAAGTAAAATATTAATGGTGTGAATATATAATTTATTTTATGACAGTTTCTACTTTTGCGATTGAGGGGACAAAACAGAAAACTTTCTTTTCTGTTTTTTTTTGTGATTTAGTGTAAATCCTTTTTAAAATGTATTTATAATTTTTTACTTTTAAAAAAAAAAAGTATTTATTTAACGACTACCAGTTTCCTGGGGTTTTCCCCTCAATCACAAAAAAATACTGGAAAAGTGATGAAAAATTCAATGGTCAAAAGATATGGGAACCCTGCAAATAATTGAAATGGATCATCATGGATAGCATGTCAAATCTGGGTTTGGTCATGTATAACTAATCTAGGTTATCCACTACAATATTACCATTACCGTATTAGCAAGATACTGAAATGAGATACTATAAATACTTTCTCCCATAAACCATAGTAGTTTCTGCAAATATACAGCCCAGTCATGCCAACATTTTTCCGGTTCATATGTGTAGTAAACTATTAAAACGACTTTGCAGTCTGTTAGCCATAAGTGTGAATCTACTATAACGTTTCCTCCTTTTACAGTTTTTAAGCCTTATTAAATAGGGGTGTGAACCTACACTGGTCTCACGGTTCGGTTCGTTACGATTATCAGGTCATCGATTCGGTTCAATTCGATATCACGATGCATCACAATGCATTGACGATGCACTGCATCCTCAATTTTCAATTTTACTTCACATTTATACAATTTGATTTTCCGAAAGCCGGATACTACGACAGGACAAACAGTTGTTGGACGCAACCACACGGATGTTTATGCCAACCTCTCCCTTTTGGGCTCTGCTCTTAATAAAGAGGACATGCCCTACTGCCCCAAGCAGTCTCCTCTGATTGGTGAGTTTGATAGCTCCCTTGGAAGTGTGCTATCAAGTTCCTGATCTGTCTCACTATTGGGAATATCATATCATTATGTTAGTCATAAAAAACAGTACCTGGGAGTTTTTTAAAATATTTTTTTTATGAAAAGAAAGAAAAAATAGTAGTGTGTGTGTATGTGTATATATATATATATATATATATATATATACACACACAATATAGCACGAATAGTGTACCTTGTAGTTTACATTTAGAAAAGCGAGCGCAGCGCACATAACAGACTGTCATCGGACTCCTCCTCTTTAGTAACTTCATCATGCGATCCTTCATCTCTGGATGTGAAATAGTCCATTATAACATCTTTTAGGGCACTGACTAGAGGTGCGAACCTACACTGGTCTCACGGTTCGGTTCGGTTACGATTATCATGTCATCGATTCGGTTCAATTCGATATCACGATGCATCACAATGCATTGACGATGCACTGCATCCTCAATTTTCAATTTTACTTCACATTTATACAATTTTGTCAATAAATACAAGCAGTCAGATATATGAACTGTACCTGACCTGGTTTCTTAAGTTAGTGGTATTACCCCCTGCTAGTGATGTAACATTTGAACCGTGGCATAGGAGCTTGTGTCGAGAAAAAAATGGGTGTGCCAGATGAAGCCTCGATTGGAAGCCTGTGTTGTTAACATAGAAATCACGTGACCAATAACAAACGAAGCTTCACTTTCTGTCCAGTCACGTGTGCGATTCACTTTGGTGTCAGAAGTTCGAATCCCCAGATCTTACTTTACGAGTAAATTTTAATTCGGACTTATTCAGTTACATTTTAGATACCCAGTCATACAAGTAATATGAAGAATACAAATTATTTTATTAACCACCAGATGGCGCTGTTTTCGAGACACTCGAAGCTTTGAATCTTTTCCCGAAACAGTCAGAGGAAAGCCTCAGTGCTTCACGAGGCTTCATTTGCCCATCCCTACCCCCTACATATTTCATTGTGCGTGACATGATTTACACACAGCGTGTGTCTTCTCCAGGTCGTGCTTACCAGGTTGTTCATAAAAGCCGAAATGTGGCCAGATGTCGGCTTTTAAAGTAGTTGGAGCATTTTTAATTACTCGTACTCGTGTCTCGCCTCCCTCTGCCATTAGGCGCGTTCGATTTGAAGCAGCTCTTAGTGCGCAGAATGATCAGTGTATGTCATAAACCGCGAGAGCGATTTGAAAGCATAAGGATCCGTCTGCTCTCTTATCGCTCTCGCGGTACTTGATGTCACACTGATCATTCTGCGCAGTGGCGCTTCAAGCCGAACGCGCCTAATATATGCTATCACGACAAAGCACGTATGCGACAAATTACGTCACAAAAGCGTCAGTACGTTATAATCGGTTATGGTCTATTACTGAACCGATACCAAATTATCCTCGTCTGCATCGCGATGAATCGAAGAAACTATTAATTTCGACACCCCTATTATTAAAACAAAGTCAAATGCCTCAACCTCATCCAGTAAATATTCCTGTTCACACTCTTTACTTATTCAGGTGGACCAATTCGTGTCACTTTCCCCTCTGGGCTTACGTTTGCTGAGGTGGAGAGAAAGAATCCACTTGTTGTCCGTGGAGGGCGTTATAGGCCGCCAAACTGTGAGGCTCGCCACCGCACTGCAATAATCATTCCCCACAGAAATAGGGAGCACCACCTCAAGTTCCTCCTCTACTATCTGCATCCCTTCCTACAGCGTCAGCAGCTCAACTATGGCATCTATATCATTCACCAGGTGCGTCTGCAGCCTGTTATTATTGTTGGGATTTAATTAGGTGATGCAGAAATCACTAACTTAAATTTTTCTCTCACTGGAAACAATTTGCTATTCATAAATATTGTTCAGTAGACAGTGAGTCTCTCAATGAAATGACAGCAAACGTTGCAAATTTGTCCCTCATAATCATTTTGCTGAGTGTTGCCACTTAGAGGAAGTAAAATAAGTGAAATAAAAAAAATAAACTTTCTAGTTAAAGGGTTAGTTCACCCAAAAATGAAAAATAGGCTGCGTTTTACTCACCCCCGATGCATCCTAGGTGTATATGACTTTCTTCTTTCAGACGAATCCAGTCGGAGTTATATTAAAAATTGTCTTTGATCTTTCAAGCTCTATCGTTGCACTCAGCGGGTGTTGCATTGCTTCTGTCCAAAATATGTGAAAAAAAATGCACCTTTTCATAAAAAAAAGTGTCTCACACGGCTCCGGGGGGTGAACAAAGGC